CCCTAATGGGGGTGCAACTGTATACTAAATCAGGGGTCTTGACCAAAGATGATGTCCAACTTCCAACTTATAGATGTGCAAGAGGTTCAACATCTTTGAGAGTCATTCCACCTGCATATTAATAAATTCATACAGGAATGATATCTGTGTAAAGACTTAACATATCCCAAATACTACAGTCTGTAAAACTGTTCTCGTTTATTTTAGGTACCCCAGCAAATGGCATTAATTTTCAAGCTTACTTGTTAGATGGCCTGATGAGGTGGAATGCTGATCGTGCTTCTGCTGCAGTGTCAAGTACTGAATCAGGACCAGAACGCTACAGAGGATTATTAATACATACTGTGAATGAGCTAAGTGAAGATGTCCTCGGTAAGAAAATCAAGAGTAATGGTCAGAATATTGGAATCCACACAGGTGAAATGATAGAAGTTGGGTATCTCTTCATGGAGGAAGTAGTCCCTCGTGGTTACAATATTCGCTCAGAGGATAGCCTCTGTGTAGAGAGGTCCTGTGTTAGGACAGATAGATTTGCAGCTTTCTGTCCCAATAAATTTCTCCCCTGAAAGGTAACCCTTGAGGGCATATTTATTATAACTTTTTGAATGTAATGAAATTGTTGTGCATGTTGTTGAAATATAATTTATTAAGGAGTATTTATATTATTCATACATGAAAAATTGCTCTAATGTTACAGTGCTATTTATATCATTTGTCACATTGTGTGTGTAATTTTCTGACCTACACTGTAATTCAGCCTTGCCTGCAAAAGTGTTGATTAAATATATCTATTTATAAATCAAACTGGTGAGATTCTCAGGGAAAATACCCTAGAAGAGGAAGATCGGAGACCACAGGGAGAAGAAGCTCTTTCAGATATCAACCCACACCAAATCAGTTAAGAAATTGATGAAGATGAAGATGAGACAATTGCATTTGCAGAGCAGGTATTTACAATGCCTTCGAGTAGTGATATAGGTAGGTGCACATTTCCCAAAAATCTGTCTTTCCTGAATCTTTATCTCAAGATGTGAATTTACAATTAGATTCAGATACAACCAGTGCTTCTGATGAAGACTCTGCCGAGCCTGTGGGAGGTGAGTTACCATGTGATACAGAAGTAAGTTTTAAGAAGTCATATTCAAGGATTCAGAAAGTAAAATCTTAACTACTGGTAATTCCAAGTTTTTTTGGTCTACTGGACTCTGCTGGGTCTGACAACATTCAGTGATATGAGGAAGTCTATGCTTCAGCAGCACATCTGGTTTCTATCAGAGAAGAAAATATGGCCTTGTCCAATAACCAAGCCAATTAAATCATTAGATTGTAGAAAAGCCATCATGAATATGACCAACAGTCAACAAAATTTGTTCCAAGACACTGCACTGCACTGGCTTTGGGAAAGTTTAGAGCTACAAAGAGAAGAAGTACCAATGTTGTACTAGTTGGTACTAAGAGGTGAACTACTTAATCTTTTATGTTGTTAATATTACAACAAACCCTTATACATAGAATTTGTTTCTCTTTCTTAAGATATTTTCTAGTCTCCAACAGTGCGCTAGCCCAATGCACAGATTGCAATAGGTACACTGAGGCTGTTATATCTGAACCATGTCATTTATATCCTGGGCCAGAGAGATCAAGGACAAAAACATCTAACCATTGGTCCCTTTTGTGTAAAGACTACCAAGGCACACAAGAATGTGTTATGAACAATGGCATGCATGACATGGCAGATTCAGCTGCCAGATATAAACCAAGCAACACTAGGTCAGTGGTACATCAAGCGACAAACCAGCCATACCATTGCTTCCATCTCTGCTACAAGTCAACTATCCTGTGTCCTTCAAATTTATATTACCAACCAATACCACAGGAACAAATATTCTCAGAGGTCAAACTTCATGACCTTCTCAACCGATGCCAATCCTTCCAGCTCCTGTTCCTTTTGTACAGCCACCAATTGTAGTAAGAAGACTTCACCCTGTTCCAACGGCTGAGCTGCATGGAAAAAAGTGGATGCGATAGTGCATAGGCTACTTGAACAAGTGAGCGCCATCAGAGATCCCACGCACCATTGCAGTAGTCGCCCATAGCAAACTGGAAAGAGATACCAAAGAAGAACATCCCGATGATGAAATGGTTTCTTGCTTGTAATATCCATGACATGTACAGTCGGCTTGATCTTCTGAATAATTTGGATATATCAACAAAATTGAAATGGTAAATAGGCCACCGTAACGATTACAAAAGCTGACGTTTCGAGCGTTAGCCCTTCGTCGGAGCGAATAGAGGAATTGTGGGTTGTGTGTGCTTTTAAAGGCAGAAAATGGAGCTACGTTATTGGTGGGAATATGGCAACGAGAAAAACACGAATAAAC